GATCTTGATATGCTATATACAAAAACACGTATCGGATGAAAAATGCAGATTATTAAAAAGGTAATAAGCTAACAATTTTCTCGAAAGATAGACACATTGGACAATCCTTTAGTTCATGGCACCTTTAATGGCCCTACATCTGACTATAGTTAAATCGTATGTTGATTGTGACCGAAATATACAAACCGCCAACCCTCGTATATTTTTATCGACTTAATTTGTGTCAGTGAATAACGGAATAAAATAAACCAAACACGAGAACGCGTTATGGGTGTGTATATTTCATATACTCGTTGATCCTAACAGACAATCAAAACCGAAGCGACACGTAGCGGAGAAAGCGAGTGAGTCAACTCTGCTGCATATCTCTTTATTTTTGCTTCACGTTGTTTCTCTGCTTACCTCAAGTGATGAAACGGACTTCCAACCATTTAGTTGAATCATTCAAATTTTATTCGACAACTAAAATATGGAAAATGGTTTAGAACCTAGATTTTATTCCGAATGAAGCTAAATGTCGGAATTAGATTGCATGCATTCTCTGTAAATCCTTTGTCAAATCTTCCATCTTTTATAAACCTAAGGATGAATATCACCGTATTCAATCTCTTGTTCTTATTCTGAACATTTAAATTTTTCAACCCATCTAACGAACGTCAAGAAACTGGAAACTACAGACAATTGTTTATAAAGTGGTCACCAGATTTTATATTTTAAAATTTCTGATTGAAACTTGAATAACACTATAAAAAATATGAAAACTCTGGTAAAAATGGTGATGAACAATATTTTTAAGTGTACTATACGGAAAAGTGTAAAGCGCTGAGGAATAAAACGTTGTTAACTGCAATTCATATTTCATATACCTAAGAACCGGGTTTTTACTCACTGACACCGTGGACATTAAAAGGGAGGTATGTAATTCCTCACTTACGGGTTACTCAGGTTTCGAAGAAAGATTTACTCGCAAACCTGCTGACCTTGTATGTAAATGACCTTCCTTGTCTCCTATCATCATCGGTCTTGCTATATGCTGACGATGTCAAGATATGGAGAACGATACGATGTAAGAGTGATAGCTTAGAACTTCAAAATGACCTGAAGAAGTTATCTGAATGGTCTCAAACATGGCAGTTGCCGATAAATACTTCCAAGTGTGTTGTGATGCATATCGGTCATCAAGGCACAGATACATACACGATGAATAACACTGAGCTACCTGTCGTCCAGACATATAATGACTTAGGAGTTATCGTTAGTCAAGACTTAAAGACTACTGCACACTGCCGTGCAATAGCCGCCAAAAGTTTTAGAACGTTATGGTCAATACGTAGGGCTTTTAGTCATGTCAACACTAAGACGTTTTTGACTTTGTATACAGTGTTCGTTCGTCCTAAACTTGAGTACTGCATACAAGCGGCTAGCCCCTGCTTTAAAAAAGACAGAGAGCTCCTGGAAAAGGTTCAGAGAATGGCGACTAAGCTGGTTCCCGCAATAGCGAAGCTTCCGTATGAATCTCGACTGGCCAAGCTGAACCTTTTCCCGTTGTCATATCGCAGAACTAGAGGCGACTTGATTACAGTCTACAAATTGCTTAGTGATAAATTTGCACCTAACATGCCCTCATTTTTCTTGTCTTCCAAAACAGAGAATTTACGAGGACACTCCAAAAAAGTTCATAAGCCGAGAACAAATTACTTGTCAGCTGACTATCGACTTTCCCATCGAATCATCAACGAGTGGAATTCACTACCTCAGCACGTGGTTGAGGCTCCATCCGTCGACTCTTTCAAAAGAAAGTTGGATCAACTGAGAGACCACCATTGCCAGGACTAACATAGGCCATCGAGCCTCCTGTCCTTCCCAAACTGAAACTGAAACTGAAACTGACCTCACCCGACTAGCGATAATAGCTCTATTCAATTCGTATCATCTTAAAAGTCATCCCATTTTAATTTCAATTACATTTTAAATTTAACTTAACAGTATATTGATGGGAGTTAATAAGTATAAACTAGCCAGTAATCGGAAAACGGAAAATTAGGTATGCCCAAAAGAGACTGAGTTTCTATCACGAGTTTAATATTCCGATTTAGATAAAGAATATCTAACCTCACTCTGGTTGATTGATTAATTGCAGGATGTACTTGAAAATGTTTGAGTATGGTCATGAAGCAGAACTTAAGAAGAAAACATGTGACAAAAATTTCGCTTCAATTGATAGTTTCAAGAGTCAACAAACTCAGAGGATACAAAGGAATAAGTTTTCGAGGGTCTTTGACTTGAACCACGTGATTCTCCATAACGGTGTTCAAGTATTCCGTCCTGAATATACGAACAAACATTCTTTTAGAATATGACACGTTTTCCTATCTCACTCTAATATTTTAAGTCACACTATTTCGACTGTCTGCGAACTTTGGAAATATAACAAATTATTACTTGCGCATATTGATAAATCCTTTTATATCTTTGCTAACCGTTTTACATATCCACAGAAAATCCGTATATCAAATTCCTTTAGATCTTAAATAATCGGTTAAATATAGTGAACTATAGTAATGCACGAATAATAAAGTTACTCCCAAGACAAACGGTGGTTAATATCAGAAATGACATTAGATTTTAATTCAAATGTTACCAAGAGGGGCATGCTTAATTTTTTATAACACGTTAATTTACATCAAAAAAACTAAAACAATTTCCTGCTTTAGATTAAAAAACTAAGTGCAATATAAGGGTTAAACACTCAGAATACTAACTACTGACAAGCCTGTTGTGAAAGATAATATCGTAAGCTCATAGTCTGATCTGTTGTGCTTTCCATAAGGATAAAAACTATTATGTAGAAAACGGTTTAAACCACATATTTTGAGAAGCCTGTATAAAATACTATCCTAAAACTCATACCTCGAGTAGTTACTCCAGATGTATAGAAAGTGAAGGGAGTTAATGAATAATTCCGTATATGGCTAAACCAATAGTTGTGCAAACGATTGCATAAATGGAATTTTGACCAAAGTGTGATAATTATTTAACATTAATGACAATGTAGCAAAATCGTACGATGCGATAAAAAGTATAACGAAGACAGGTAAACAAGAATGAACGTAAATATGTACCAAAGCAGGTTGTTTTGGTAAAGAAAAGAGTGGTGTATAACAGCTCAGAGAATAGGTTAGTTAAGTGATCAAGTATTAAACACCTGTATTTCTCATTATACAATTGCTAGCTGGCTTCATTTTAATATTGTTTCCACCAATAATCCTGATGACCCTCTGCAATTATTACGGCCGGTGACTTAGTAAAGTTTAACTAAATTGTACCTGAATTCCCTAAACAAGAGACGTTGGTCGTTAATAAGCCAACAATATCTTATTATTCTTATTGAATCTCCGCTACCTTATGTTGAACGTGACATCAGTTGTTCTGAAATCTCAGAAAATAAACTGCACATTTCTTATGCATGCACAGTGACATTGCATTTAGTCCATTTGCTTAGAAATTCGGATTGAATGAATACAATCACTTTGAATAATCTAAAGAATTAAATACTAGTTTTTAACCTAAAACATTTATTGAAACGTGAACAATCTAGTCTTATATAACTCCATAAGCGTTCGTAGAAACTTACAGCTTCTAAATAGGACTATTTAAATATAATTTTAGGGTAGAGCTGAGGTACCTACAAGAACTTAATTTTTAGTAACTAACCTACATCACATTTATGAAAAGACATAATTCGTATGTACAGTGGTAAATCGTTTCTTGAGAACTGACTAAACACAAAATCAATTTTTTCACAGAACCTATCGAGTTGTATTCCGACAAGCTCCACATTTATTCAGATATTAACCACACATATGCACCTTTTAACTGGATAAAAAATGTCTCCAGAGTCACATTTGTCAATGAAAGTTGAACTTTTACAAGCGAGTAAGATATACCTTTTCAAGACCTGTGTTATTTACAAAGACAATCAACGCTTTATAGCTTGTGTTTATATGGTTAACGTTAGTGAAATATGGTAACTGTGTCTTTTATGAACATGAAATCGTCTACTGAAGGTTCCTTCGTTAGTATCAATGCTCTCTCCGGTACACAAATAGCATTACTTACAATGCTGACAAGGGTTATTCACTAGGTAATCAGTCGCTCAATAATTACGCTCACAGTCCTTACAGTTAAGCAGATAACAATGGAAAAAAATAAACCTTACAATTTATGAACAAATTCCGTGTATTAAATTGGCTTTCTATAAAGCTGAAACCTATTTAGCAGATCATAAATAAAGGTTAAGTCAATGTATAGGTAGTATTGTAGATAAAGAAAGGAATAAAAAGGCGATCATTAGTTTACTAGATATGACATATGAAACTCACAAAATTTCTTCAAAGGCAAATTCTAATTTTGAAAGCAAAGTGTGGGAGATTACAGATTACACGGAGCTTATTAAAGTCATCTGAATAAAACTTAAAAGAAGAATTTTAGTCAGCCATTCTCTTAGGCTCTGGAGACTTTTGAGATGCCACAAATTCATCTTTGGTGTTTCGTAATGGCTAAACAAGAGTAAATCAAACTTCATCTGTCGAGACAATAAAAAGCTTACTGAGCATGGAATAAACGATTCAAAAACTCGCATGATCTATTCAATATCTAATATTATCACAAATACTTTGTAAAACTCAAGCAACATCTGTGCCTAGGCTTATTGTTCGCATGTCATTTATTGTCTCACGTTAATACGAATGTACTCGTGCCCATCAATCTTTTTTATGAATATCCAAAAGGATGAGAGAGAAAGGGTCGTTGGAAATGCTATCAAGCGAATGAAATGTTGGGAAGTAGAATGATAATAGTTCGTAAAAAGAAATGGCCAATTATTTAGAGCGTACCAAAATGTTATCAATAATAGCGGTATACAACTTCATTAACATAATAAACCAAGAAACAGTATACGACGCGCAGCATACCGCGCAATAATGATTATCAAGAGTTACCTTTCCGGTAAAGACCAGTAAGGATTAGGTTTCCTATGATATGTGTGCAATTTTGGTCCAAGATCAATTTGACCATTTCGTAAGAACCTTCTTTAGGGTATCCTCCTATGCTGTTCATATGTGTAAAACACACTATTATTTTGAAGAAAAGTATTGGACAATCAAAAATCGATATTTAAGATACCTTTGACACTTTCCACATTAACAGTAGCTGCAACTAAATGAAGTTTTAGTGAAAAATTCGAGATCAAACCTAGTAGTCTCAAAGATAATCCCACTAAATATATGAACACCAACTTCATTTTCACTAGCTCATACGTTCCAAATGAGGTCGAATGTATTCTCGCTAAGCGATGACCTTCAATCTGGTATGTTCAAACAAGGTTAAGTAATACACTGAAAAATGCCGATTTAGAGATTGGTGATCTATGAACCGCTTCATCTTGAGTCTCGATTTCACGCACTACTGAATGGGAAAATTCATGATAAAACTTTATGCAGTACCTAATTTTTTCACGATAATTCCAATCTACTAGCTCAAATAGGAAATTATTCTGTGCCACTACAATTCACTTTGTGATTTATGTCGAAAATTTTGGCGATAAACGTGTTAAGTAAGTTCTTAGTAAATACACACTCTATGTGCTCAATCCGTCACATCTTTACTCATATCTTACCAGCTATGTTGCTCCATAATAACTGCGATAGTTAATCAAACACCTGGATACGATAAGTTTTAAAACGTATTGAAGTAGTTGTTACCACAACATTTGTGCGTGACTGAGCGCAAGTCACATAGTTAGATTCTTACCTTTTCATGCTTTAGTGTTGTGAAATGCAAGTAGAGTTAACTTGTCAATAATACCTATTCCTGTAAAGATTACCTCCGTTGCATTGCAAATCATTTCGACATCTCTTGTATTTCAACTACGTTGATCTGTCAAAGATCTCATAAGATGCTGGTAATTAGGCATGAACCTATAATGAAAGCCTAACAGTTCTTTGAAATTCCGTTATTACTTGACACTAGATGATTTCAGTTTATCTGGAACGGCTCCCGTTTAGATTTCAGTGAACACATACTCTGAGCGTTAATACTATGCCCAAAAATGTTAAGGTAGTATGATAATAAGCAGTATTCGAATTCATGTGTTGAAAAACATTTCTTGTAATAATTAGATTTAGAGCAGATAGAACTAGACGAACACGATTCATAATAAGCGCTCAACTGTGTACAAGGTTAGTAAAAGTACCATGGATAGACTCGAATTGACATATTTCATAGTCTAAAGTTATGGCATGTTGTTGAAGTTGATAAAAAGAAGGTTCTGAAGCTGAATATGAGATTCAATGTTTGGTTATGCAATAAAAAATCTCTCAAAATATGAATTTCTGAAGCCATGTTTTTTCAAAACGTCATTGATGGATCCCTTACAAGTTTTCACTCTGCTTTCTGCACAGGAAGATACGCAGAAATTCGTAAGACGTTAGGAGAGTTATCGGGATGCAGCTATAAGCTCTGACTAAGTCGACTTCTTGAAAGAAAGTCATGACGTTCGAAGGATCCTTCAATAAAACGAAATAGTACTAGTCCCAATATGTCTAGAGCTTCACCAAGACACAATAAACAACTCAAATTCAAATCACGAAGTGTGAGATTGTTTTGCCTTATGATCACTGTTTAAACATAACATCCCATTATTAGCTGTACAGTAAGTGTATTAGTTATTCGCCAAACCCACCACTCATTGATCGTCTGTTCATGTGTTTATAATGTAATCTACGTTTATCTGCAACTCAGTTACATCTCAGCTGTCTAGCATCCTGATTTTCATTGTCTTCATCTATCTGAAATTCGGAATTATGTAAAAGGTCATTGTTAACAAGGGAATCATGATTGTTAAAATTGAAACTATCTATCCGAAGATCAGAATTACCTACACTCTTAGGATTATTTAGAGATTGGTCACAACTAAAGCTAGAATCACCTACTTCACTAACCTTTACTTTGTCTGTGTCTGCTGTGAATTGAATCGCCAATCTAACTAAAACTCATTGCCATATGACTATCCATTCTCTGCATTATAATCCCTGCAGAGAGTCAGTAGTCACTTTTTTGGTAAAAATGAACTTCTGATGATCTCCTGCTCACTAAATGAGTTCCAAGTATGCGAGATTTAACGAGTTTTACCGAACTGTCATGAGTTGCTGAATGTTGAAACAAAGAAGTATCAATGCGTTTTTCCAGCTCTTCTAAATCACTTGGATTCACTCCCTTGATACCACTGTTTGCAGTTCAAACGAAATTTTCTGGGAAATCGTTAGTGTAGAATGCAAACTAAGGTTGAGACCGAAGAATAACTGTCTAGGTAGTTTAGATATGCGCTATTGCCCAGTTGAAACTAAAACAAGGTGATTGGGTAAATGGCGGTTCTAGATTTCATTATATATATAAATGTACATTGTTGCACAAACAAATATTACCATTCAATCATTGATTGTCTAACTAGTAAGTTGATCCAAATTACAATAAACAAGTTGATAAAGAATGTAAGAAAATTACCAAGAGCAACAAATTAGTGTCGTTTTACTCTTTCTGGATAGATCACGAACAGATTCGTTCGAAAGATAATATTTGGTTGCCTTGTAACACAGTGTTTCCAACTCTGGAAGAGTGCTTCAATTCACAATCAAAAATGCACGATTCTAGTCAATGCAAGCAACACAATCAAAGGAGGAACAAACCAACATAGCTACTGCCAAAACTAAGTATCAATTAAACAGCATAAATGTGGTACATGAAGAAACATGGAAACTCAGTGACGGCGTAAAAAAAATAAAAACTATAATAAATGCACATATTACCACCTCAGACGGAATCAAAAGAGACTAACAAGATGTACAACTGAGGGAATCTATAGGAACAAATTATTTGTGTATACATGAACGGATTTTCACACACAAAACCTTCAAAATGGATCTCACTGTTACACTGAAGATTTCTTTTATCTGTAAATAGATGGCGGCACGCAATATAAGTCAGCTGTTAAAGGTCTTCTATGCGGTACGTTCCTTTACCGCAACTAACACATTAAGATTTCTTCCACTATTAAATATCTTTTCCCTCGCTCTTTGAGTTAAATGTCCGCTAGGACTATTCGTGTGTACCACTTCGGGCCATCCGCAATATGAATCAATGATAACTATAGCACAATATATGTTTAAAAATATATCACAGTAATTCGCACAAATACATTGCCATGATTCTTAAGATGCAGACCAAGGATTCTAGATACTTCCACTATACGATAGCTTGTGTATACAAGCAGAACACAATTCCGATATTCAAGTTATGGTAGTATCAGTCTCAGGTCACTAGAAAGCCTGACGAGCAAGTGATTTCATTTTCTCTGTTCCCAGATGGGCAATATGAAGTTCGTTTAATACTGCAAATCTGAGTGTAGGGAGAATGATTGCTGTATCAATAGATTACAAAATAAACCCTCAGGGTGTAGTGATATATCTGTTTCCCTTTATAAAGCTCAGGAAACTTGGACTTACACTGAATATTCCAACCTCTCCACTGTACGTATTCAAATTATTTACAAGTATTCCTTGCAAGTTCCGGTATATTTAAAAATAATGGTTGACCAAACATTAAATTACTTTCATTTGGTGGTTTTAAGAAATATGAATGGCGTGGGAAGAAATCTGCATATGGTGTGCTTTTGTCCACTCTTTGCTTAATGGTGATATCATAAGCACTCAACTCTAAGTTTCTTTTCTGGACTATGACCGCGGATGACCGATGAAGTAACTTAGCTGGATGGTAAATAAATTTTAACGCCTGGCATGGAATTTTACATCTAACAAATATTTATGTAGCTTTTTTACTGCCAGTACTACAGCTAAAGCCTTCTTTTCACTTTAGGAATATCCTTGTTTACACGCCTAATCGACTCTAAATAAAAATAAAAGGCTGTCTTCTCTGATCAAGAACCGTACCTAACCCCAATGGAGATACATCTGTTGTAAGGAATGATTTTTCAGTCGGCATAAACGGTCTAAAGAAGGCCTCACCATTTAAAAACTGTAAAGCTTTCTTTAGTATATCATCGTGTCGTTGTCCATATACAGACTTTATTACAAACCAAGTCAAAAAGTGGAGACACTACTTTCGTTAAGTTAGAAATAAAACTGAACAGTACCAAACCATAACCTGAGTCTTGAGATATTCTTAGGTGACGGAGCTTGTATCAGTGGAGTTGAGCGATTCATATAAGGTTTAAAACCCTTGGTATCTACAGGATGACTTAAGCATTTGATCGAATTGGTTTGAAACTTAAACGTCGATGGATTTACGGCCACTCCTGTGTCACCAAAGCGTCTAAATAACTTTAGGAGACGTTCATAATGCGACTTAATATTTTCGTAATGAAAAACGATATCATCGTGACGCAATCCAATGTCATTAAGACGAATGATAATCTGATTCATAACCTTCTGGAATATTGTTGCGTGGAGTCGGGTCGAGATTGACTATGAACACCACTACAAGGAAACGCGTGCCAAACAAATCAGAAGGCGAAGATTGAACGTAACCAGATTTATTTCGTTGGCTGTCTCGTGGTATCGAACGAATACCAAGATCGTGCCAAAACAAGTACAAGTGGAATCAACGTGCAAGAGTAGGAACGTACGAGGTCACAATCGGCGGACAAAGTAATGGAGAGTAATGGTAGTACAATATGTCCATCATTAGCACAGTTAAACAAGCGAGCACAGTAAAACAGTCACTGGTACAATTGGTTATAATTATAATTGTTTTCATTAAACCAATCGTGTTTTCATGATAAAAGTAAGTCACTACAATATCCCAAGGGAAAAATTGAATCCGAGTAGTAGGAATATCTACCTGAATAACCCGAACGGTGAGTTTCTGCTGTGTAGAAAATTTATTCACATTCCATAATAACACTTCATGTTATTTTGTAAGTACATCAAGTTACTGCCCAAGCTACTTGAATCTATCTGTATTGCGACGTCAAATGAGAAGTTGCAATAGTGTAACGAAATAGTACTAACCCCAATATGTCTAGATCTTCACCAAGACACAACAAACAACTCAAATTCAAAGTACGCAGTGTGAGATTGTATTGCTTTATTATCATTTTTTAAACACAACATCCTAAAACTTGCTGCACAGTAAATGCATGGGTTATTCATCACACAATATAAGTATTATGACCCCAGTGCGCATAGTTTAACAGATCTTTGTGAATTATATGCACTTACAAATATC